GAAGGAAGGTTGGGCAATCCTACTTCCGTAGTGATACTGCCTCGGAAACCCAAGGAGGGGTCACTATGAGTTGGGGCCGACTCGACGGCACATAACAACAACAACAACATATTGAAGACTGTAGTTTGATCTTCATCAGTAAGTGCATCAAGTCATCTTCACTTCAGCTCGCAAAGTTATGCCATCTACATATTGCAGGTTGCTAATAAGTCTTCTTCCAATCCTGATGCTCCATTCTTCTTCATATAGTCCAGCTTCTTGGATTATTTGCTCAGTATACAGACTGAATAAGTATGGTGAAAGGATACAACCCTGACACACACCTTTCCTAATTTTAAACCATGCAGTATCCCCTGGTTCAAATGACAGTCTCTGGGTCTATGCAACAGACAACTGTTACCCAATTATATCATGACTACAAAAGCTGTAAATTGTTACTGGAAAGACTGAAGTACAGATAGTTTTGATCTCCCATGATTTTTCAGCTTCAGGGGAATGAACATTTATTTAAATGAATATTTATTTACATATTTATTTAAATATTCATTACCTAAACCATAAACCAAAAATACAGACAAGCCTGACTTAGTAATTATATGGTAAAAAACATTATTTTGTCAATATATTTTTTAATTAATTAGATGAAATTGACATAACATATGTAAGCATTTTTAAAATGAACAACTGAATAATATTTAGTATATTCGCAAAGTTGTGTAATCATCACCTCTATCTAGTTCTAAAACATTTCCATCACTCCAAAATAAAACTTTATATCCATTAAGGAACTTCTCCCCATTCCCCTTTCTCTCCAACCTCTGGCAACCACCAACCTGCTTCCTGTTTCTGTGTCCTAAACACTTTTGGATGCAAAATTCAATTCTATATATTGGTAATTAAGGTTATGTGATAACTTGGCTGGGCCTGGTTTTGAGCAGCTGGGCAGCTGCATGCAGTTACTCCCTACGGTGAGATTGGTAATCAACTCCATGGTAGAATCTCCTGGAGCAGCTGAGTAACTGCTTTAGGGATGGGGGTCTGCTTCCAGTACATAAGAAGAAACTCTGAGGAAGGTCTCCAGCTTTTTGCATGCTTGGACCACACATGTAGCTGAGTCACTGTTCAGCACCCTACCATGCTGTGTGCTGACCTTGGGACTCTTAATGGACTTGAATCAACGGCCTCCCTGTGGTTTGGTAATATCGGGACTGTGCCTTTTTACTTGTCAACCTTGAATTTTTCAGCCTCGGCAGCCAGCAGCTGCCTGATTAAAGAGATGCCTCCAGCTTCAGTGGGCCGGAAGCAAGAGGCAGAGCTGAAGCCCGAGGTCAAGGGGCTTTCACCCTGCCCATAGAGCTTATTAGCACTTTGAACATGGACTTGTAGCATCCAAAACTGTAAGAGAATAAATTCCTGTTTGTTAAAGCGATTCCAACTATGGTATTTCTGTTAGAGCAGCACTAGAAATAACCAAAACAACTGATATTCAAGCCTACCAAATAGCAAAGACTGAATGGAAAGTAAAAAAACCACAGGCCAACTTAACTTATGGACAGTTAAATTAACACAATCAAAATTATGAATGAAAAAAAGGATGCAAAAATCCTAAATAAAACTTTAGTGAACGGAATTTGGCAGCACATTTAAAGAAAAAATTTATGACCAAACCATAATGACATAACATTGACATATCTAACATCCAAATAAAAGTAATATACTATCAACTCCACTGGCCCACTTAAGAAAGCATTTAACAAAGGTAAACAATATTCTTTATTAAAAGAAAAAAATAATACTGTCAACAAAAGAAAACTAGATGTGTATTAAAGTGAAAAAATATATCTACTTCAACCAAAAGGATTTATGTTTAATGGGGAAACACTGTGGTATTTCTAACCAAAACATGTATTATTTGTAATAAAGTCATTGATCTTCTCCTTAAAATGTCTTGAATACAGCAATGAAGGCTGCATTTTGAAGTCATTCTGTTAAACTCTTAAATAGCTCTAATTATTTGAAAAATCATCTTCTGAAATCTGAGGAAATTCAAGTTTAAGTCTACTTCTACTTCAATGAGTCACTCTTACTAATATCTGAAGAAATCTGCTACATGGCAAGTGCCCCACACTAAGGAGAGAAAAAAAAAAAAGAAAAGAAAAGAAAAAACCCCAATATTCCTCATGAATTCTTTAAAAAGCATGGTTTCCTGTAGTATCAACAAGCCACTTCTGCCTGCTACTGGCTTGATACAATCTCAAAGTCATTACCTACAAAGGCCCAGTAATCTATGTCTAATGTAAGCAGGATAGAATAAAATACTATTGTTTTCTTAATTATCTGTAAATTTAGAATTTCACTAACAGAATGCATTCCTCATTTTCTAATAAGTACCAATACACCATGGTTTATATGGAACTTAAATTTAAGTAAAGTCTTAGGCTAAAGTCTCACTAATTACTCTGAAACTAGTCTCTCTAGTACTCTAGTCTCAAAATTAATTTTGAAGGTGGGGACCAGGTTTGCTGGTCCGATAGAGCCTGGTGGAACCACTGAGACTATGGCCCCTAGCTGACCTTCAGGTCTGGAATTGAACCCACACCTGTGGTTTCCAGCCAAACAAAATATAGGCATGTGAGTTAAACATTTACCTCAAGTAGATACACGCCTTGGAGAGAATAATCATGGGAGAAAGAAGGGCTGCTTATGCACAGGGAGACAGCTCAGGGGGCAGGAGAGTATGGAAGGATGGACACTGGAAAGAGGTAACTATGGGGAGGAAATGGGAGGGGAGCTGTTGCATTGTGGTAAACTGTGCTCAATGACATGAGACAAAGTATATGTGAACTGCTGTATGGAAAGTGAATTTGCTCTGTAAATCTTCACCCAAATCACAATTTAAAAAATAATAAAAAATAAAAATAATAATTTTGATGTGGTTTCAAAACAATCTATCTTAGTTCTTTGAGTCAATACATTATTTTCTGTTTCATACAAACCACTGTTAAAACATATAATATACAAATTCTATTAGATACAAAGTCTATTAGAAGCCTGGTCAACAATGAAACGCCACACATCTCTTATCAATTTTATTTTCCTTAACCTTAAAATTTAAACGTATATAATGAAATAAAGAAAAATCACTTACTTGTTCCTTCTATAAGCAACTCTTGTCCATGGCTACCCAAAAGCGTACGTGAAAGAAAAGGTGCAAAATCCACAAAAATCTCTCGCAGAAGAGGTGCAGCCTTTTCCAAAGCATGTTCAAGCCTCTCTGTAATACTAATTGAACAGAACAGTGCAAGTTACCAAAACTATTCAAAAAATTCTGATTTTCTAGTTTATGAAATGAAGTACATTACAGAGAAATGTAAATTATGTAAAACATTAAAAATAACCTAAAGGCTCACTGCTGCTATGCATTCTATTCCTTCTGCCTAGAATATCTCCTTGTTTATCCTGCTCTATCTTACTTCCCTTAGACCTGGCAAACAACCTGGTTAACAAATATTCCAAGTGTCAATTCTTACTGGAAATCTTAACTGGCCATTTGAAAGCATTAGTTTTTTGGCAATGTCTAGTATAACCTAAACAAACACTATAGTCCTTAATAATCTTCTACCTACCACCTAGAGTTCAAGAACTGTTTTCTTCATTTCTTAATTCATTTCTAAATTCATTTCTAAATTCACTTTTAAATTCTCAGCAACAGCATATAGTACAGATCCAAGATATGTTTATAACTAAAAGAATCAGTTTATATTCTTTTTATTGAATTCTACCTCTATAACAATTTATTCCTAATGCAGTCTGAACAACTTTTCACTTGAAAATAAAATACAAATACTATCTAGGTGTATTTATGATTATTTCAATTTATAAATTATATAAATTTATCCGTGTATACACACACACGTTGCTGCATGTGTCATCATCTGATTCCAACTCACAGGAACTCTGTACGACAGAGTAGAACAGCCCCATATAGTTTCCTAGGCTATAATCTTTAAGAGAACATGGATCTTTTCTCCTGCTGAGACACTGGTGGATACATACCGCTGATCTTTCAGTTAGCAGCTGAGCACTTAACACTGCACCACCAGGGCTCTTTATATATATGAATACACACATACATATTTTATTAATTTAAAAAAAAAAAAAAAACCCTTTAGGAAGCGCTCAGCTTTTGTTAAAGGTGAGGATATAATATGGAAATGAATAAGAGTAATAGCATAATGTGGGAACCAATAAGGGTGACAGTAAAACAATTTGATGAGCATAATTAATGGAACTGAACTGTACATATGAATATTGTTGAAATATCAAATGTTTTGTTACATATATTTACCACAATAAGAACAAAAAAGTCAAGTCCAGAGGACTTCGGTAAGATGGTGGAATAGAAAGACAAGCTACACAGACCCTCTTCAACAAAGAAAAGAGACACCAACTGATACAGATACAGAAGATAATGCTGGAACCCTGAGCTTTCAAAGGAAGCTTAGAAATGCACTAAACACCAAGTAGTTGTTGTTGTTGTTGTTGTTATGTGCCGTCGAGTCAAACCCGACTCATAGCGACCCCTCCTTGGGTTTCCGAGGCAGTATCACTACGGAAGTAGTAGAAGAACCTAAATGAAAACAGTGAAACAAAAGACATGGCGCTGAGGACTGTCAGCTACCCTGATCACACGGGCAGTTTGATTATTTCCAAGTGGTGTTAAGACCTGAGAATTAACCTAAAAAACGACCCTACTTGCCAAGGGCTGTATGTACAACTGCACTGGTGAATGATAACTAAAAAGGGAAACAACAAAGAAGCAGAAAAACTAAGCTGTGGACTTTCGGGTGTCTGGAGGGCACAGCCATTTTGAATGTTTACAAGTGGTAGCCATTTTGGATATTTAAAGAGTGAGTGTTCTCATTCAGATTCCAGAGAACTAACAATAGGCTCCATGACAGAACAGACACACAGGGGGCTGAAGACCAGAAAGGTGTGAAATCTCCCCTGCTACTCTTATACCCCTCACCCACTTGGTAAATGGAGGTACAGCCATCCCTCACCCTATTCCACATTCTCAGTCAGCAGGAATTCCATCCCAGACTGTATTCTCTGACAGAGCCTGGGTGCTCTGACCAATACCCGCAGACTTGTTTTTTGGTTTTTCTATTTGTTTTGTTTTTTCTTTGTTTTTAAATTTCCTTTTTTAAAAAAAAATCTTCCTTTTTCATCTTATTATTTCTTTTTCTCTTCCCAGGTTCTACTTACGGGCTTCTCTTTTATTGCTGACCTTTTTTTTTTCTTTGTGGTTCTTCTTATCACTTGTTTTTCTTTTTGCATTTTTCCCATTTTTTCCCTCATTATTCTCTTACTTCAGCTCTTTTCTCTTAGTCCCCCCTTCCAAGAGATTGTGGCTTATTTTCTTATTTTTACTTTTTAACTTTTATTTCTATTGCCCTTTTAAAGTATTTCTAGAAACATTTTGTCTCATTTATAGCCCTTCCTCTTTTTTGTTGTTTTCTTTTGTTTTGTTTCTTGTTGGTGATTGTTCCTCTATGCTTCTGTGGTGTGTGTTTTTGTCCTTGCTTGTCTTTTCTTTTTTTATTGTTGTTCTTGTCTAACTTAATGGGAGACTGCAACCACAGCCATACAACCCAATCATACACATACCTTCTGCAGCCCCACCTACTGAGAGAGGGCCACCACTTGCTTCTGCACCAACTGGCAAACAATACAAGACAGGCAATACACCTGACTCATCCTTAACTGCTCTATACAAACAGTTAACAGAGATCTATGCACCCACTCTCATTTTCTACCACACCCACCAGGAGACAGGTGTTGAGTGCATAAGTGCTACCAACTAGCAAACACAGGAAGATAATATCCTGCTTACTCAGATATATCCAAATAAAATTAAAATCTTGGATGAATCATTGTAACATACAATCACCAATTAAATTTATAAACAAAAAGTCACAATGTCTCAGAAACAACAGACCACCACATTCCACACAAAGAAGCAAAAAAAAGCAGCAGAAACAAGGGACCAGCATACGGACCCAGAATACACCCCTGCAGAAGCAGCAGCATTGGAACTCCCAGAGAAGGAATTCAAAAGAATTATATTTGGGTACCTTCAATGTATTGAGAGACAGATTGAAGAAAACACTGACAAAATTGATGAAAACACAGAGAAAACCACAGAACAATTTTAGAAGAAAATACAAGAAGAAAATGACAAAATAAATGAAAAATCAGAAATGATACAAAATCTCTATATAGGAATCCAGAAAATTAATATTAAATTTTCAGAAATAGATAACACATTGAGTAGGCAAAAGAGTAGTATTGAAACAACAGAAGACAGAATTAGTGAGATTGAACAAATACCCCAATACTTCTCTTCAAAAGGATCAATCAGAATAAAGATCAAAACAAAATGAAGAAAGCCTAAGGTTCAAGTGGGATATCATCAAGAGGAATAAACTACATGTCATCAGAAATCCATAACAGGAAGAGACAAATAATACCATGGAGAAAATTGTGAAGGATTTTTTGGAAAAGAATTTCCCTGATATGATTGATGAAAGTCGAGAATATATCTATTCAAGGAGTCCAAAGAACACACACAGGATAGACCCCAAAAGAAAATCACCAAGATGTATCATCATGAGTCTTACCAAAACCAAAGACAAAGAATGAATTCAGACAGCAGCATGAGGATAACGAAAAGTTAACTAAAAATGGCAACCAATAAGACTTAGCTCTTACTTCTAGGCAAGAAAGCAATGTAATGGTATAAATAAACCCAGAAAGAATAAAATTTCCAAAAAAGAATTATGCTGTTGTTGTTGTTAGGGGCCGTAGAGTCATCTCCAAATCACAGCAACCCTATGTACAACCGAATGAAACACTGCCCAGGCCTGTGCCATCCACACTATCCTTGCCATATCTGAGCTCATTGTAGCAGGCACTGTGGCAATCCAACTTTTGAGGGCCTTCTCATTTTTCATTCACCCTCCACTTTACCAAGCATGATATAATTCTCCAGGGAATAGCTTCTTCTAATAACATGACCAAAGCAGGTAAGATGAAGTCTGCTTATTCTTGCTTCCAAGAAGCATTCTGGCTGCACTTCTTCCAGGACAGATTTGTTAGTTCTTATAGGAGTCCGTGGGAATTTCAATATTCTTAGCCAACACCATAACTCAAAAGCGTAAACTCTTCTTCAGTCTTCCTTATTCACTGTCCAGCTCTCACACACATATGAGGTGAATGAAAATACCATGGTTAAGCTTAGGTTCACCTTAGTCTTCAAGGAGACATCTTAGCTCTTCAGCACTTTAAAGAAGTCTTTTACAGCAGATTTGCCCAGTGCAATACGTTGTCTGATGTCCTAACTGCTGCTTCCATTGGTGTTGCTTGTGGAACCAAGCAATATAAAATCTTTGACAACTTCAATCTTTTCTCCATTTATCATGACACTGCTTATTGGTCCAGTTGTAATGATTCTAGTTTTCTTTACATTGAGGTGTAATCCATACTGCAGGCTGTATTCATCAGTAGGTGCTTCAAGTCATCCTCACTTTCAGCAAGTTGCATTGTCTGAGTATCACAGGTTGTTAATAAGTCTGCCTCCAATCCTGATGCCACATTCTTCTTCATATATTCCAGAAATTATATACCCACAAAATCATCCCTCAAATATGATGGTGAAATTAAGACATTTTGAGATAAGCAGAAACTAAGGGAATTTGTGAAAACCAGACCAAGCTTACAAGAGATGCTAAAGGGAGTCCTTCGAAAGGGAAAAAATAACAGCAAACAACAGCCATCCGTCAACACATGATACATAACTCAGAAACGAATCCATTTATGGAAGTATTCAAAATAAAGTAAGCTTACAAGATTGTAAACAGGGAACCAGAGACATCAATTGGCAAATGACAAACAAAAAAGAAGGCAAATGTAGAGTACTTACGGAACCTCTAAATGGTGAGGAAGTCAAAACAATTGCATGATAGAATGGACTGGTCTAAACTAGGAAAGAAAATTGTACATCACAGGATAACCTCAAAGAAAAACGATAAGCCTTCATATCAAAATAAAGAAGAGGAGAAGCACAAATATGTGGTGAATATAAAACAAAAGCAAAGCAGGAAATGATAATACAATTCATAAACAAAATAAGCTCAGCACAGAAAATTACATGGAAAAAACAAATCAGGAACATCATGAAAAAATATATAACAAACTGAAAGCAACAAATTCATCCTTGT